GTGGCTAGTGCAGGCATTGGCATAGCTAGTGCTGATGGTGGCATGCCTGGCACAGGCACTGGCACGGCATTGGCATGGCTGGTACAGAAACTGGTTTGGCTAATGCAGGCACCGATGTGGCTCCTGCAGCCTTCGGCGTGGCTAGTGCAGGGCTGTGTGTACCCAAGTGTGGCTTCAGGGCCACCATCCTGCAAACGGGGACACCCTCCCCGTGCCAACCCCACGGGGCCAGGTCTCCAGCCCAGTGCTCCCAGTATGCTGCCACGCTGAGCCCAGTGTACCCACCATGGGTGTCGCAGCCTCTCCCACTTTCTGGGGACCCCCCAGCTCCCCCGTGATGGCCGTTGACCAAAAAGGGACATTCTGGCCCCAAAAAGGAGCTAGCCAGGCTGGAGGTTGCTCCGGAGGGGTTGGCCGGTGCTCTGGGGGAAGGAGGACCTGTGCCATGGGGGTCTTGGGGACATGAGGGAGGGGGCCCGGTTCCCCGGTGCCCCTCACCGTGGCTTCAGGCCACCTTAACCCCCCCCTGCCCTGCTCTGCTCTCTCCCCAGGACGCCCTGCTGAGCCTGGGGGCCGTGCTCGACGTCTCCTGCCTGCGGGACGCCCTCCGCCATGCCCTCGTCTCCCTGCTGCCCAGAGTGGTAGGTGGGGGGTGGGAGGGGGGTAAGGGGCCAGATCCTGGGTCTCTGAGACATCCCCCCCCCCCCCGCCCTGGGGCTGGGGGGAGCCCTGCGAGTGGTGGATTCTCTGCTGGCTGATACTGAGGTTGAGCCTGGGGTGGGGGGTCTCCTCCTTCCCGACCCATCTCAGCGTCCTCCCCCATACGGGCCACGTGTCGCTGGTCCCCTGGTTGCCATTTTAAGCATAAAATTGCTCATGGGTTGACTTTTGTGACTCTCAGTCCCCGGTCCTAAGTGGTCCCCCCAGTAGCGGGCAGGGAGCGGCACAGACCCTCCCCCAGGAGCTGCAGAGCCCCTAACCCTCTCGTGGCCCTGGGGTGCTGGTGGCCCTGGTGCCAGTGGTGGCCCCCGGGGTGCTGGTGGTGGCCCTGGGGTGCTGGTGACCTTGGTGCTCACGGTGGCCCTGGTACTGGTGGTGGGCAGGCGTCGTGCCAGCGCCGTAGCACGGGGAGCCACGGCCGTGGCCACGAGGCCAAGGACAGGGCTGGGGTCCGTGGGACCCCCGGAGCCGTCGGGCAGCGGGGCTGGGGCACCCTGGCCATGGGGGGGTCCAAAGGAGGGGGGGGAGTGTGCAAGTGCGAGTGTGCACTGGCAGGTGTGCATGCATGTG